GGATAGCTGGTTCCCTGACCCACTGAGCCGTCAGGCCGGCGGGTGGGGCCGCGGAGGGACATCTGAGGAGGGACCACTCATCCTTTCAAGGACGCTTTGCTGGGCCCGGTCCTTCCCGCCCGCCCCATCCGACCCTTCTGGCAGTGGGACTCCTTGGTTGCCCTGGCGATCAGGAAAGGTGGCTTTCCTGCTACAGCTCGAGGGAGAAGACAGCTGGGCCGAGGAGGAAGGAACAGGGAGCTCAGAGGAGCAGGGACGTAGGAGAAGGAGCCGAGTGGAACTTGAGAGAGCCTCTCAAAGTTGCCTCCCTCCTTGGGTTTCTTTCCAGGGAGAGCACCTCCTTGTAGTCTCCATCTGCTTAAGCTCAGCCTTCCCCACCTCCCAGGGTGTCACCTCCTCCCATGCCAGTCCCCGGGACAAGGGGCTGTGCTGCCTGACATGGCACCGGGCACATGGTAGGTTCACAAGAAATGTTTTGTTTTTGAGATGAGGTCTTGCTCTGTCTCCCAAGCTGGAGTGCACTGGGATGATCACAGCTCACTGCAGCCTCAACTTCCGGGGCCTAAGTGATCCTCCTGCCTCAATCCCCACAGTAGCTGGGACCACAGGTACACACCACCACAGCCGGCTAATTTTAATTTTTTTTTGTAGAGAGAGGTCTCACTGTTGCACAGGCTGGTCTGGAACTCCTGGCCTCAACTGATCCTCTTGCCTTGGCCTCCCACAGCAAGGGGATTATGGCATGAGGCATTTGTTGGGAGAAGGAGTTGCTGCTGCCATCCTCTTTACTCATCCAGTGGATCACTGAGTCCTGGCACGCCTTCCTCCATGCCCAGCCCTGTCTGGCTTGGGTCCCACCTTTTGCTTACACGCCCACCTGCCCCCAGCAGCTCTCCCCTCTGCCAGAGCTCCTCCATGCCATTTTGGCAAAGACCACAGTCTTCCTGGCCACAGTCAGTCCTGCCCCCTGCCTCTCTATCAGGTCAGGTGGTCCAGGTCACAGTGCCTCTCTGCCTGCCTGCCTCCCCCAGGGGGCATCCTGTTCCCACCGTCACGTCCAGGACCCTGCCTCTCGCCATCCCTGTGAAGCCCTCTTGGCCCCCAGCCTGAGAGAGGCCCTGTGCCCCTCACTTCCCTGTTGTGGGAGTCCTGTTGGCTCTGGAGGACAGGGGATCCTTCTCCCCAGAGCAAAGCTGAGCTGATGGCACTGGCAGGGGGTAGCTGGCGTCAGTTGAGGTACAGCAGGTGGGGACATGGGGTCACTGCCCTTTTCCCTGAAGTTGGCCACACGGGATGCCTGCTTGTTTCTCCACAGCCCCCCCAGGGCTGGGCCTCAGGCAGCAGGGGGTGCAGGGTGGCCCAGGCAGGTCCCCACTGTGACCCTGGTGGCAGTACTCTCTCCCCCACTTCCCCCTGGAGCTCTCAGGGCAGCCCTCACAGCCTCAGAGGGCAGCCTACTGGCACAGCTCTGTTGAAGGGTGCTGGGAACCAGAGCTGAGCTGGTGTGGGCCGTGGCTATGGTGGACACGGACATAGGCTCAGGCCAGGCGGCATCTCCTCAGGGCCAAGGGACACTGGGCTGGACACTGCCTGCCACCCAGGGACAGCTGCAGCCCTCAGCGTTTTGCTGGGTCCAGCCAGGGGAGGCCTATGAAACCAAAGGCAGGGGACCCCATGACTCTGAGGCAGAGGGGGCCTGTTTGACCAGCCCTGCCCTCCCTCCCAGGCCTCAGTGGCCTCCCTGAACCTTCCTGCACCTTGACCTGGCTGGACCTAAGGGTGTGACACTTTTGAGCTTAAGCCGAGAGGGTCCTTGAGACCTGCATGGGTGAGGGAAGTGTTTGTGGCGGGGAGGGGCATGGCACAGAGCCATGTAGCAGGCTGTGGGCAGGGGGCTTCCCTGGAGCCTGCCCTGGGTGGGTGGCTGGCTCTGAGGTGGCTGGATGTCAGGCAGGCCTGGGCTCGCCTCCCGGGAGTAGTGCCCCATGGCCTCTCGGGTAGCCTGATCTGCGCAGGACACCAGCCCTCCTTTCCCCAGGAAACCGGCACTCTCCTGCCAGGACTTCTCTGCCTCCCAGCTAAGCTCAGAGGGCCTCTGTGCCTCTGCCTGCCCACAATCCCTTCCCTCACCTCTGTCACCTCCACCAGGAAGTCCTCACGAAGGCTTCTTCCTTCTTCTGCAGACCTGGCTGCACTTTCTGTGTCCCTGCTGCTCTGGCCTCTGTCTGTTTCACAGTCTGGGCAGAGCCCCCAGGGTGGGACGAGCAGCTGGCCAGGGCCTCGGGGCTGACCCAGTGATGGAGCAGCAGATGGGCCAAGCATGCTGGAGATAGGAACCCGAGGGACCCCGGCCCAGCCCCCAGGATGCGAGTGCATCTCAGAACCCCTTCAATGTCAGCTCCAGTCTCCCCCCGCAGGCCCAGCCCACACACCTGCCCATCCTGCCTTCTCCGTTCACTGAGTGACACCAGGGTGAGGAGGCCCACCAGGGCAGTGTGCCCAGCGTGGGGGAGTGGGAAGGCGGAGGCCAGCCACAGGAGAGCAGGACCACAGCATATGTGGGAGAGCTGAGGCCAGAATCTGGAGGTGGAAAGGGGGCCCAGCCTGGTCACCATCACTGAGTCACGGAGTCCTGCAGTGTGGTCTCCCAACCTGGCCGGGTGCCACCCTGCCCCATCTGCTCCTGGTGCCTGCCCCTCCTGCCCTCCCATCTTCCTCTGTTCAGTGGCCCAAGGAAGCTTCAGCAGGAAAACCCGACCTCTCCCCTGCCTGCGGGGGCCCTCCCTGCCCTGCTATGAGGGAATCATGCCTGCCCTCTCTCAGCTTCCATGAGCCTGCCTACACCTGGTGACTGCATTCATCTCTCTGTAGCCCTGTGTGTTCAGTCTGTGCCAGGCAGTGTTTCATGGGGTGCCTGAAGGCCTCCCTTGCCCTTCTCCCTGGTCTCCTGCCTCACTCCAGGGCCTGAGGCTGTCCTGGGCCTCCCTGCCCCTCCAGGGCCACCTGCTCCTCTGCCCACGGAAGCTGCAGCTCCTGGCTCCCTTGGGCCCAGGCTGTGAGCACATCTCCCTGGTTAGGAGTGGGTGTAGCGCGTCTGTGGCCTCTTCGGTTCCCCAGGCACCTCTGCCCATCCTGGCCTGTCCTGACCGCTATCCTGCCTCTTCCAGAATGGTACCCAGAAGTCATGGGACTTCATGAAGACACATGACAGGTGAGAGCCTGGCCCAGCCCAGCCACTGGGGAAGCCCCACATGATGCCTAGGGGACACTGGGCCCAGGGGACACTGGGCCTCAGCCATCCTATCTAAGCAAGGGGCCTGACCTCCCTGGGCTGCTGGCAAGGAGGTGGGATGGGCCCACTGGGAACAGAAGGATGGGAGGTGGGGCACCAGGCAGGGCCCTCCTTGATGTTTCTGTTTCCTGTGTGGACCCCCAAAATCCCTCCTGGCCTCTGGGTTTCCTGTCCCTGTGGGGTCAGCCTGAAGCCTGGGGACTGAGTTGGGTCCTTGCTCAGGCTGCCGGGACCATGATGGCAGGCAGGCCTCTTCGGGCAGGGAGAGGCCAGCCTGGAGCCTTTGCCCCTGGCATCCAGGGTCTGGGCTGGATGGCGATATGGCTCGAGGGGTGTGGCTGGTGGGCAGCTGGTCAGCAAGGCCAAACGTCCTGTCAGTCACCCGGCCGCAGCTGCTGGCACTCTGACCTACGCAGCTGCCCTGGTGTCCTTCCCTGCCCCCTGCCTCCCGTCCTGCCAGCTGGAATGCAGCAGGTCTGGGTCCTGGCCGGACCATGACCCTGGAATGCCCTGGCCCTGCCTGGGCCTCGGCCATCCTATCTGAGCAAGGGGCCTGACCTCCCTGGGCTGCTGGCAAGGAGGTGGGATGGGCCCGCTGGGAACAGAGGATCGGAGGCGGGCACCAGGCAGCGCCCATGGTTGCTTCTGTGCTGAGCCCCTCTCCCCGTGCACAGTGTGACCGTTCTCTTATTCAACTCTTCTCGGAGGAGCCTGGTGTTGGTGAAGCAGTTCCGGCCAGGTGAGGCCAGCTGGGGTGGGAAGGGGATCCGAAGGGTCCCTGTGGTCCTGAGGGTCTGAATACAGATGTGGGAGGGGGCTCCAGGGGAAGCTGAGGCCCTGCCAGGGGGTCTGGCTAAGTGGGTGACCGCCACGCAGCTGTGAGCGTGGTCTGGCTTCCTCCCACGCAGCTGTGTATGCGGGCGAGGTGGAGCGCCACTTCCCAGAGTCCCTAGCAGCTGTAGACCAGGACAGGCCCCGGGAGCTGCAGCCAGCCCTGCCCGGCTCAGCAGGGGTGATGGTTGAGCTGTGTGCCGGCCTTGTGGACCAGCCTGGGCTCTCGCTGGAGGAAGTGGCTTGCAAGGAGGCTTGGGAGGAGTGTGGCTACAACTTAGCCCCCTCTGATCTGCGGCGGGTCGCCACGTACTGGTGAGTGGGACCAGGCCCTCCGGCCTGTGGTGTGGCTCAGGAGATGGGAGAGGCTTCCTGGGAGAGAGTGAGTGCCCCGTCCCTGGGGCATGCAAGCAGGATGGATTCCTCCTTGTTTTTCAATGTGAAATTAGGGGAGGGTTGGACAGAACGCGTCTCAGATCCTCAGCCAGGCCGGAACCTGGGCTCTTGGGGCTCTCTCTGGAGCGTGCTGGGCCCCGTGCCCCCAGCCTGCGGCCCCCAGCCATGTGGGGCCAGGCCGGGTGGCAGCTGCTGCTGACAGATGCCTCTACTTCCTGTGGGATTAAGAACCCGGTGCTGGGGGTAGGGGTGAGTCACAGCTCTGTTCTCAGAGAGTGGCTCAGGAATGAGGGAGAAGCTGTGTCCTGGGCTGGAGAGGAGGTGGCTCCAGCCCTCCCGGGGAAGAGACACGGCCTGGGGCCTGCACTTTGGGACCTGAGCCCACCAAAGTTGAGGCCCCGACTCCTGTCCCATGAGGCCTGCCAGCTGGGGTTGCCTTTTCAGGACAAGACGTTGAGAAGAAGCCCATCTACTTCCCCAGGGACACGATGGTGGGCTCCTGACCCCAGCTGAGGTCTTGGGAAGGAGGAGGGTGTCACAGAGCCCCAACCCCACCAGCCGAGCACCAGCCTCCACGGCCTTCTCCAGAGGCCAGGGTCCACTCCGCTGGTAGAAGCACCGGGAGTCTCTGCACCTGTCAGCCTGGCACATGGGCCACTTGGGGTTGAGCCTGGGGCCCTCCTGCCTTGGCAGCCTCAAGGACTTCACCTGGGTGTGCCCTTGGCTGGGTGGGGTGGCCTCCAAGCTAAAGGCAGAATTTCCACTCTGAAGGGTGGACTTGGGTGTGAAGGGTGGGGCCTCGGTTTTCTGCAGGTGTCCACCATGCCCCGGCCTGTGGTTCTGAGCACAGTCGGGAGGCATGGGAGGGATTGGATTCCCCTTGGTCCGCCTGGAGGAGGTGGCCTGGGCAGAGTCCTGGCAGAGGGGCCGCACGGTGAGGGCTCTCAGGCCAGTGGTCAAGCAGCCCGGGCTGCAGTGGTTCTGTTGGCACAGCCGGATTGTAAGGGTGCTGGAGAGCCAAGGAGGGCTCTGGGAAGTGAGCAGTCTGCGAAGACTTGCATTGTGAAGAGCAGGCCGTGGCTTCTGGGACGCAGGACTGGAGATGGGGCTGATGGGGGGTCCGGGCGCCTGCCTCTGCGGGCCTGAGCGGGGCTGGGCTGACAGCAGAATCCAGCCACCCGGTGGCAGAGCCCGTGGCTCCTTCTTTGATTCTGGAGGTGAGCCAGGCCCCTTAGCTGCCGCAGCAGAGGACAGGGCCCAGGGATGCAGTCAGCTCGGGGCGTGATGGAGTGAGGCTGGAACGTGCCCGGGGGTGGGGGAGGTGTGGCCCAGCCTGGCTGGCAGATTCCTCTCAGCCAGGCCAAGGGCCAGCCTGTCTCCTTCACAAGCCGGCGGAAACTGGGGCTGGAAACCCCAGACCTGCCACTTCCCTCAGAGGCGCTGTAGTGGCCGCTGCCGGAAATGGGCCATCAGGAAGGGGTCTGCGGGAGGTGAGGGGCTGGAGGGCGAGGAAGCAGCTGGGTGAGGTCGATCTAGGGTGGGTCCCCATCCTGGGGGTGGGGAGACCTTGAAGGTGGGGCATGGAAGCCCCCAGTTCTGTTGGGCACATCTCAGAAGGTGGTCTGTACCCTGCAGGCCTCCGCCGGCCTCAGCTCATGCCACCAACAGCCCCTTCTGGGGTGAGCCAGGGCTCCCCCCGCCCTGGCCATCTCCCCAAATGCCCCTTGGTCCCGTTTCTCCCTAGATCCACACGTGGCCCCTCTGCCGTCTCCCCCAGCCGTGGCCACCCTCCACACAGCCAGTCCAGGCTGCTGCCATTGGTGCCTCACCCTCCTGATGGCCAGCAGCCCACTTCCGGCCACTGCCTACTGAGCGAGGGGACTCCCTCTCACCCCTCCCCAGTCTGGGCCACTGGGCCTGGGCCTGGGGACCTCGCCACCACCCCGCCCCACACTGCCGTGCTTTGGGGGGTCATCACATGCTGTCTACTGTCTGGAACTCAGGTCCCATGGGTGCCTGGTGGGGCACCCTGCGGGAAGGCCGTGCTGGGCCTGCTGCGCTTGTCCCTGCTTCCCAGCCAGCCTGCGTCCTGGGCATGGGCTGGGTCCTGGCCTGGGCCTCTGCAGCCTGTGTCTGCCTTGGACACCAGCCACCCACTGAGGAGCTCCAACACTGGGTACAGCCTCAGGGTTTCTGTGCTGGGGGCTGCAGATGGGGGTGGGTCTTCTGCTCAGGGCCTTGCCAGGTTGCGGGCCGGGTGTCAGTGGATCTGCCAAGTCATGGGGGTGTGGGGTCTCCCCAGCTCGTGGAGTTACAGCAGAATTCAGCTCCTGGTGGCTGGGGACCTAGGGCCCCCTCCCCACCGGCTGTTGGCTCCTCCCACCTCCCAGCATGGCCGCTGCTTCCTCTGAGGGCTGGCAGCACAACTCTGGATTTCTCCACCTTTGATCTTGAAACACCTCTCCTGAGAGCGTCCCGACTGGGCCAGACCCATCTAGGACGCTCTCCCTTTTCATGAGCTCAGGTCACTCGTTAGGGTCCTTAATCACGTCTGCAAGACCCTCCCCGCCTAGCGAGTACAACCTGCTCAGGGAAGGGCTGCCCCACTCAGGGAGGCACCACAGGTGTGCACTCCAGGTGGGCATCTGGGTGGGAGAGGTCATCCCAGAGTCCTGCCTGCTGGAGGGCGGAGGGAGCAGAGCGGAGAGGGTGGTAGGAGGGGCTGGGGCCAGTGGGGCCAATGTGGGTGGCCCAGCAGACCCTTTCTCAACCCATAGGTCTGGAGTAGGACTGACTGGCTCCAGACAGACCATGTTCTATACAGAGGTGACAGACGCCCAGCGACGCGGTCCAGGCGGGGGCCTGGTGGAGGAGGGTGAGCTCATTGAGGTGGTGCACCTGCCCCTGGAAGGCGCCCAGGCCTTTGCGGACGACCCGGACATCCCCAAGACCCTCAGCGTCATCTTTGGTGTCTCGTGGTTCCTCAGCCAGGTGGCCCCCCACTTGGATCTCCAGTGAGATTCTGGGGGTCTAGTCAGAGGCCAGCCTTGGCCACTCACCCCCACCCTGCAGACCCAATAAAGGCTTGCACCATTCCAGCCTCTGCCTGCTGGCTCTGGGCTCTGTGACCAGGGCCTCGGAGAGGACTGGGGAAGGGCGGGAGAGGACTGAGGTGGGCCTGGGAACATGGTGAGCTCTCCAGCAGCCTGGAGAGCAGGCAGCAGGAGAGGACAGGCTCAGGGATTCCACAGGCAGGGCCACGCTGTGCCTGCTCTTGGGGTCTGGGACTCATGAGGGTAGCATGGTGGGCCTGGGGTGTGCCTGCTAGACAGCATGGAATTTCTCTATCTCTGACCTTGCAGAGTGAGCTGTGCCTGCAGCAAGGGTGGCTGAGCCAGGACTCAGGAGTTGGGGTTGGGCAGGCTGCTCAGGCAGAAAAAGTCCTTCCTGCTCCTGGGGCAAGTGTGGAGTCCCGGCCCTGACTGGGGCTGGGCTAGAGCCACTCCACTAGAGCCCGGAGCCAAAGCTGCCCTGTGCTGGGTGCCTCAGTAGCTGCTCCATGCACCCCAGGCCTTGGCAGTCTTCGAGGGGACCTTCCTGGGCCTGTGGGGTATGCAGAAATGTCTGCGGGCTGGCCTCAAGAGGAGGGGTGGCAGCACAGGGCCAGTGGTCTCCTTGACATTGGCCGGGTTCGTGGTGCTAGCCCGGTCCTGGTCCCAGGGCATGGCCTCAGCCTGGCCCACCCAGCGCCAGGCTTTTCCAGCCCCTGAGCATCTCTGGCCTGTATGCCATGGCCTTGCCCTCTGACCTGTCCTGAGGGTTGGGCGGTGGGAGATTCGTGCAGCTCAGAGCAGCTCCCCAGGCGCCCAGAGTGCTTGTGGGGCAGGAAGGGACCCCGCTCACCTGGCCAGCTTCCTGGGCCACAGGTGCACAATAACGGCTCCGCAGGCGAATGGGCACCTTGGCACTGGTTGTGGGCATTCGAGGGCACTGCTGGGCTGTCAGTCTGGGGCAGGATCCTCTCCTGGACATCATTAGGTCCAGGCTGTGGCTCCCAGGAGGAAGGTGGAGAAGGGGACTGTGAGGGAAGGAAGCCTCAGTACCCTGCAGGGTGGCATCCCCATATGACACCCTGGCCATATGGGGATCTTTAACCACTCTGGTGGGGGGAAGTGGGGACTGACACCCTGTTGTCATCCAGTACAGTGCCAGACAGCCTGGCATTGGAGGCTGTTTTGAGGAGGCTGTGCTTCAGGGGCCCACAAAAGCAGCGCCACCTGTATGCAAATGCTGGCTGTGGCCCAGGTGGGGCCCTGTGGGCGCCAGCAAGTCCAGCAACAGGACTGCCAGGGAGGGGCTGTCAGCTTCACCCTACCCAGGTGAGGCCCCAGCAGGACATTCACAAGACAGGAGCTCTGCCTGGCCCCAGCAGCCCTGCTGTGCCGTCCTTCCCTGCACCCGGCCTGGTAACCCCACGAGATTGTGGTGGGCCCTCCGGCCTGACCAGCAGGCCACTGCCTCAGAGTGACCTCCGGCAGGCACCAGGTGGGTCTGTCCCCTGAAGCACCGAGGGGACAGGTGACAGGGTACCTGGACCTGGGTGTAGTCCAGCCCCTCACTCTGCTCTGCAGCCAATGGGGCGGGTCAGCAGGCAGCACTGCCGGGCCTAATGGAGCTGGCATTGATTTCCCGGCACTGGAGGGGGGTTGTAACCGGAAACTCCCCTCCCTGTCCGCTATATTTAGCACTGCAGGACCCGGCGGAAGCATAGCTCACTCTGGAGCCCTGCTGGCTCTCCAAACTCCTGGCAGCCTGGTCCCCAGCCTGGTCCCCAGGAGTGTGCTGTGGGCACAAAGCCCCGGCTATGCTGAGCAGCTGCACCCTTGCCTTCTGCACACAAGCTGGGCACCACCTGCCTGAGAGCACACCCAAGCCCCTCAGAGTGGGAGCCCCCCAGGCTGGGGCACGGGTAGCTCCAGGAGGCTGGAGAGTGCTGTGGTCCAGTGTGCCATAGGACAGTGACAAGGGACCTTTCTGGAAGATACTGGGTAGCCTGGTCTGATGAGGGTTGGGGCTGGAGCCCTGGCCCTGCCCATCTCAACCCCTCACCCCAGCAAGGTGCAGCACCAGGGCAAATGTGTTTTGTGAAATCTGCGTGGGGCGCAAGGGTTCCCACTGCTGCCTTCTGGGGAACTCCAACCTGGGCCCAGCTGCCTGGCATTTCTGGCTCAAGGGCTGCAGAAATTCCTGCAGGGAAGGGACCCCCTCTCCAATGCCTCTTCTGTCCCCCTCCTTCCTAAGGGCAGGTGTGGTCACCTTCTGACCTTGGTCTTTCCTGGACGTTGTGAGGTCCAGGGAGTGGCTCCTAGGAGAGGGAGCCACCCTGGGCAGGGGATGGGGACTGATCCCCTGGTACTGCCCTGATGCTCACCCAGCTGCCCTGAGCCATGGGTACTCAGGCCGGTCTCACTGCAAAGGACCTGGAGGGAGACATTGGGGCCACCACTCCCCTGCTTGGCAGGGCAGCCTGGGCTCTCTGTAGCCTGAGACTGTTCAGGCCAGCAACAGCGCTCCAGGCAGGCTTCGGCCCCTGCGGGTTGAGCTTGAGTCTTGAGATAAGCGTATCCCTCACTGGGGCCTTCCTGCTGAGACGGCTGAGCTGGAGGCGCCTGGGCTGAAATGCAGCCGCTGCAAGAACAGGCCCCCACGCACCCCCGAGGGTCAGCCGCACCGCCGCAAGCCGCTGCACGGCCAGCCTTTTCAATCCTTTCCTCCCACAGCTGGCCAAGGGCAGGAAGCAGGAGCTGGACCAGGGAGAGGAACCTGGAGGGGCTGTTCCCTGGGTTCCCTCCTACCCTGGAATTCCCCACCTCAATCCAGCTACCAGCCCCTCCCCTCCCCTGCACCACGGCAGAGCCCCGACCTCACCCCGTGCCTCTCCCCTCCCCACAGTCAGGGGTCTTCTTTGTGAAAATGAGGGTCACTGTGGTGCCCACCCAGCGCAGTTGCCTTTGTGACCCTGTCAGTCTTAGCAGGAGTACTCTCGTGTCCCCACTGGCCTTGGGTTGTACTCAGGACCCTTACCAGGGTCCCACTTCTGTGGCTCAGGGCCTTGGCACATGCTGTTCTCAGCTCCTTCCCTGGCTGACCTGTGCCCATCCACCCTCTGGCAGCCCCCCATGCCAGGTTCTGCATCACATGTCTAAGTCCTCTACCCACCCCTGGGCTGGGAGCTCCTGAGGGTGTAGGGTGTGCAGGGGCCGAGTCTCCCTTGTTCCCCACTTGGCTGAGTGCCCAGCAGAGGCACCCAGCTCCCCTCCCCCACCATAGTGGGGCAGTGGGCACAGGAGGGGATGGAGCCCTGGGCCTCTGGAGCTAGGCAGGGGGCTCCTCTGTCCTCCTAGGGTCCCCCTTTCTCAAGTACCTGAGTACCTGCCCCCAGGTGAAAGCACAGGAGAGGTGGCATCGCCACAGGGAGCCCCTCCACCTGCAGGCATAATCCCGGCCCACCCACGGGAAGGCGGCAGCTCTGAACACAGCTCTCTTACTTGGTGGGAGTCTCTGTGCGGGCCCCATCGTGGCTTGTGTCTTCATCCCCACAAAGCCTACCCGCTACTACGTTTGGGGTGGGCACTCTGCGTGAGCAGAGCCAGCCGAGGTGGGCATGGGGGGCCCTTTAGGGACCTTCAGCTGAGCCTGGGTCCTGGAGGGACCCAGGGAAGGGGCAGGCAGACCCTGCGTGTGGGGTGTTCACAGGCCACTGCTTCCCTGTGCGACTGTACTGGCACCCTTAGTGAGAGAGGGTAGTGCCTACATTCCTGCCCTCCTTTGGCCAGGCCCCCAGCGCCTGAATATAGCCCAAACCTGTGCTTTCGACGCTCTCTTCCTTCAGCCCTCACCCCCAGCCCCATGGTGGCACTGACTTGCTCAAGGCAGGGGGACTGCACTGCCACCCAGCTCCAGGCACAGGGCGGATTTGCCAGAGGAGCTGGGGGAGAGAAGACAGCTCAGTGATCATGGGGATGGGGTGGGGACCCGTCGGGCCATATGGGGATCTTTAACCACCAAGGTGACCCCTAGCCCTGGAAGGGACTGCAGTCAGTGGAGGAGAGGCAAGTGCCGTTGGTATTGACCCTGTGGAGTAGCTGCGAGGTCATCCAGGGAGCGGGTGGGGTGTGGAAGCCTGTGGACCAGGAAGCCTGGTGACCAGGGCAGCAGGGGGAGGCCTCTCTTGGGGTAGCCCTCAGGCACAGGCACTGCCGACCTTTGTCCCGGTTTCCCTCCTCTCGACCCCCCAAGTCCAGACCTGCGGCCTGAACATGTCCTGAGGGCATGGCCTGGCGACCCCCATGCCAGCGCCGAGCTGAGCAGTCGGCACTTCGGAGCATGTGTTGACTGGCTGCTGGACCCGCGCGCCTTGCAGAGGGGAGGGCAGGGGCGTCGGAGGGGCGCAGCGCCCCCTGCAGCCGACGTGGAGGCGGCAGGAGCTGCGCGGAGAGGGAGATTCCCGGAGGAGGTGGGGGGCGGGCAGTAGGGGCTGAGCCGGGCTCTGGCCTCAGGGCCGCGCCACCCCGCGTGGTGGCCGAACCCTAATCCGAGCAGGAGGCGGCATCTCCCCTGGGACCGCGAGGAGCGCGGCAGTGGCGCACTGATGGAAGGGGACCACACGGCAACCTCAGGGCGCCCCACCCCTGGCTCCTGACAACCGGAGGGAGCTCGGGCGGAGGAGGGGAGGCAGCTTGGCGATGCCGGCGCCCGCCTAGCAGACTCACGCGGAGGTGCGAGCCGGGCCCCCGCGCTGACCCCGAGGACTCGTGCCCCCGCCGCCGGGGCGCCCTGGGAGGCGCGCGCCGGGCCTGGGCGCTGGCAGGCGACGCCCTCCGCCGCCTTTAAAGCCTGGGGCGCACCCGGGTCCCCCCGGCCCCACCCCGCGGCGCGGCCCCGCCCCCTCATGCATATGCAGGTGAGCGGGTGACGAATGGGCGAGCGAGCTGTCAGTCTCGTTCCGAACTTGTTGGCTGCGGTGCCGGGAGCGCGGGCGCGCAGAGCTGAGGCCGGGACCCGCTGCCTTCGCCGCCGCCGCCGCCGCCGCCGT